TGAAACTATAGTGTAGAGTCACAGCACAGAAAATCCAAGACAACTCTCCTAGCCAAAAGAAAACCCATATATAGAAAATGTATTTTAAAATATATTTCTAGTCATCTACTAAGGACAGTATTATTCATCTCCAACTTCTATACCATTGGTGACCCAGTTCTTTCATGACAATTCCATTCTGTTCACAGTGGCTGGGGTGAACAGAATTATGCGCCCCCAAAAGACATCCATGTCCCAAATCCTGGAACCTGTGGATATGTTACATTACATGGCAAAAGGGACATGGTAGATATGATTAAATTAAGGACCTTGAGATGGGGAGATTATCCTGGATTATCAGGGTAGCCCAGTGTAATCACAATAGTCCTTATAAGTGAAGGAGGGAGTCAGGAGAGTCAGTGTCAGAGTGATGCAGTGTGAGAAAGACTCCACCAGCCATTGATGGCTTTGAAAATGGAGAAAAAGCCAAGTACTGCTAGCAGCCTCTAGGAGCTAGAAAGGGCAAGAAAACAGAATTCTCCTCTAGAGCCTGTAGAAGGGAACACAGCCCTGCCAACACCTTGATTTTAGCCCAGTGAGACTCATTTGGACTTCTGACCACCCAAATTATAACACAATAAATTTGTGTTGTTTAAAGCCACTAAATTTGTGGTGATTTGTTACACCAGCAGTAGGAAACTATACAGTGGCTTTAAAAATGTTCCCAGAGTACACTCATATCTGTCAGTGCATGTTTTCTACTTTCAATTAATGTCACCTCTACCACAGTTACGTTACTGTGGAACAATCACTGATGGCCTTGATGATGACCTTGGGTCATTACAAGATTATAAATCATCAATGAAAGAATAAGCAGTTGTAACCCCAGTACTTTACTTACTCAATCATGAAAAGGGAGAGACTATACAATCCTTGTCCCAAATAGACATAATGTAATAGACCACAAAACAAGAGCCTGAAAAAATGCATGAAGCAGTTAAGTTTGGACTCCAGCTTACTTTTGACCAGCTTGGAGACCCAGGACCCCTAATATACTGGTTATGAGTCCTTTCAATCTATTTTCTCCTGCTGAAGGACACCATGCTTTGTTCTAAAGCTAAGACCTTGAGGATGGGGACAGAAGAGAAGGGGAGAGAGGATAATGGTCCTCATAGTGTTCACTCTCAGAGTGTGATAAATGCAAAATAATCAGACTTGCTGCATTGCTCAGATTAATAATACAATGGGCATCTCCTGAAGGTCATTTTGCTAAAAGGTGTTTATCTCTTGTTCTAAACAGTCTGTGGAAGAACAAAGGAAGAAGGAAAAGAAAAACCAGCATATCAGTGGTAAACTCATACATGTTTTAGAATGATTCATTGAATTTTAAAAGGGAATTTGGGTGAACCCTAAATTTGCCAGAAATTTTATAGAATCAGTATCCTTATCTTCTGAACTTTCTGGTCAATCAGTATCTTAGCATACAGCTTATTGTTTTGGCTCTAAAAGCTCTTTTCTTTTAGTTAGGTACTGTAATATACTGTACCCTTCCTTCATCCTGCCCAAGTCAAAGGAATCAGAAAGATGGAGATAAAAATATTAACTTTATTTACTGACAAACTACTTGGAGAACAGCCTTTAGGTCTAGGGCAACAATAGGCTTCCTAATATAGCACAGAAGAATTAAGTGGAATGTCCTACTCAGTCATGGGCAGCTCACAAATAGTGATCCATTCCCAGGGACGGAGCTGCCCATAGTCAGATCCCTGTGAGAATCCACAAGGGGATGATATAGACAAGGCTGTCTTGTCTCCTCCTCCCCAATCAGGTAAGACATTTGTCCTAGGCAGGAGTATGCGAGGGGGGAGGGGAGGCCAGAAGTGTTATGCTAGTGGAAACTCTTTAGCATGGATATATCAGGAAGAGGAAGTAAATGTTCTCCATCTGATACTTACTTCTAAATGTTAGCAATAAAGCTATGCTATAATTAAGCAAACTAAGTAATTATGTCTAGAAACATCTGAAAGCAAAATTAGCAAGAACTGACTAAAGATCCATCACACCAAAGCACACCTGGAAGCAGCAGCCTCTATCTTGTGTGATGAGGAATAGTCTGAGATTTGTTACTAATAATAAAGCATGGACATTTACAAATGATGTCTGTTGTCTTTATTAATTAAACCTGTTCAAAGTTATCCCCATAATAACATTATTCTTACCTCATTTCAGATTTACTTTCTTGAGTGGGAGAGAAAGGGGAGGAACTACAATTAGCATTCCAGAAATTACACATTACTGAGTTTACCTTATCTGTGAAGATGCTCATAGTGAAGGATATTTAGTGCTAGCATTAATAGTTGTAGCAATTGTGAATAACTGAAATGCTCCTGAGTTGTTATTTTTATAGTTACTTCTATTTCTTTTTTATTTTACCCAGGGTAGAATTTGATTAAGAGAGCAAATGATTCTTTTTTTTTTTTTTTGGCAGCTGAGCAGTGTGGGGATCCAAACACTTGACCCTGGTGATATCAACACTGAGCTCTAACCAACTGAACTAAATAGCCAGCCCTGAAGAGTTTTTAAAAGCGTGAATATCAACATGACACTTGGGCCAGAATGGCCCAGTAAACCTCTTCTGGTTAATGACAAAATTACAGTATCAAGTAAAAACAGATCATAAAGTTGAATTTGTAAAATTTGCAAAAATGATATTAATATCATTATAAAAGTTAATGAACAGGCTCCATGAGGAGTTTTGTTTTACTCTTTAGTTGTACATATTTGCTCCTTAGAAGAGGGGGTCTTCCAGCACCTCGGAGGCCAGCCTAGGGACCCAGGGTAAGGAGCTGGGGACCTGACCCCCCCTCCCACAACCAGGCACACTGGGACTGCTCATCAGAGCCCTACCCAGGGGCCCAAAGCACGGAGAAGGGGACCGGACCCCCCTCCCACAACCAGGCACCCCACACCACTGCCCCAGGACCCATCCAGAGACCCAGGGTATGGAGCCGGGGATCAGACCCCCTTCCCACAACCAGGCACCCCGTACCAGTGCCTCAGGGCCTTCCCTGGGAACTAGGGCATGGAGAAGGGGACTGGACCCCCCTCCCACAACCAGGCACACTGTGCCAGCTTCTCATGGCCCACACAAGAGCCTGAGGCATGGAGAAGGGGACCAAACCTCCCTCCCACAACCAGGCACACCGCACCAGTGCCTCGGGGCCTGCCCGGGGACCTGGGGCATGGAGAAGGGGACCAGATCCCCCTCCTACCACCAGGCACACTGTGTGAGCACCTCGGGGCATGCCTAGGGACCCAGGGTAGTGAACTGGGGACTGAACCCCCTTCCCACAACCAGGCACACCATGCCAGCACCTCGGGACCCACTTGGGGACTGGGGACATGGAACTGGGGATCAGACACTCTCCACAACCAGGCACACTGCCAGCACCACGGAGCAGGCCAAAAACATCTCCTCCATGTGGGTGGCCCACCAGAGCCACCACAACAACCATGGCTGCTGCAAAGGCGGCTAGATGCCACAACCACCATGCAGATGGTCCACCAGCCACTGGAGTAAGTTGACACAAGGAGAGTCACCAGCAGAGATAAAGAAAGGAGGAGGATGTCTGTCTCCACAGAGCCCATTTCATAGTGACGGAAGAGACATCTGCTCTGTGATAGTATTGGGGGACCTGATCACGCTTCTCAGCATTGGACAGATCATTTGGGCAGCAAATCAACAGAGTAACCATTATTCTTTCAGAGGGAGAGAAGAAATCTAGGGTGAATAGAGGGGGCTGGGGGAGAGGAAGGGGGATGGAGTGGGATTGGACAAGGGGCATAAAGAATAATTACAATTTAAAACAATATACATGCTAGTAATATTGATTTGATCAACATATCTCAATGTTGAACCCCAAAAATATGTATAATCAATTTCAATTCAATAAAAATTAAAATTTAAAACAATAAAAAGGAAATCATTAAAAAAAAAGAAGTGGGGTTCTAGAAAAAAAGTTAGGCTTCATTTTAAAAATAAAGGTCACAATTCTTAAAACCAGATTAATTATATGTATTTATTTTTATTATAAAATAATCACTTTGAGACTTTTAATGGCTTATATAACTATTCATTCACTTATAAAATGAATTTATGAATGCTTTTATAAACACAGTGTAGTGGATTGAATTGTGTCACCCCAAAATTCCCTGAAGCTTGAATTGTGTCCCCTAAGTTTTAGGTATTAGAAACTTAGCCCACACTGTGACTGTTAAGAGGGTGGGAAATCCTATTATGGTAGTTGAAAGGTGGAGTGTTGAAGGGGTGATTGTGTTGTAGGACCCTGAAGTAGTGAATGGTTTAAAAATGGTGGTCAGGGCATGGTTCTGAGGGCTTAAAAGAAGAGTATATGTCTCTTATTCTCTCTGCTCTCTCTGCTTCCACCATCTTGCAGTATGAGACACCTGGGTCATTGTCACCACCACCAGATGAATTCCTTGGACTTTGGACTTCCCAACCTCATAAACTGTAAGCAATAAATTTCGTTTTCTTTATAAATCACTCAGTTCTGTGTATTTTGTTATAAGTGACATAAACAGACTAAAACACATAGTGATCCCACAAAAGGCAACTTTTCCTTTACCTTCCTTCCACCAATCCCCCAATTTGATGAGATTTTGTCCAATTCTGAGAATATTGTACATCATGTTAGCAAATTGCTAAGAAACAAAATAGAAGAAATAAGCACTCTTCTTTTCTGCCCTGAAGTCAGCCTCAATCCTTCTGCAACACTGCTTTTATCTTCTTAGGAAAGCTCTAGGTTGGCCAAGAGAAAGGTTTTCCCCTAACAACAAATCAGTGCCTGTTGCTAGGTAATTGTGACATAGGAAAAGTAACCACCAATCAGGGAGAAGCCCCCACAGTTTGACTGTGACATGTCACTGTAAACATGAGAGCTCCCACCACTCTTAGGCCCTTCTCCTCTCATTTGTAACTGATAAGGGGAACAACATCTACCATGGCCAGATCCATCATCAGAAAGTGCAAGTGCTCCAGAGGACATCTATGCCCGATCTCCGGAAAGAAATCACATTTCAGCACCAGTTTTGGCCATAGAAATTATTCACTCTACGTAAACAGGGTCCTAAAAGAAGTGGTTCCCCAGAGCGGCATATCATCTCACACCTTGGACATTATGAATACGCTGATCAACGACATCTTTGAGCGCATTGCTACGGAAGCTTGCAACCTGAGGCATCTCAGAAAACGCTGTACCCTCACATCTGAAGATATCCAGAAGGCAGTGCATTTGCTGTGGCCTGAGAAACTGGCTGAGTACGCAGTAGCTTTTGGAAGCGAAGCAGTCCATAGATATGTCCACTCCTAAACTCCATGTACCAGCTTAATTGAATCTTGGGGAAAAGTAAATCAAACTTACCACCCAAAGAATCACCTCGATGTTGAGTTCACTCTTCTTTTTTATAATTTAGCAGTTATTTACTGGTATTTTCCTATTTCTCTTATCTCTAGAGATGAATTTCTTTCTTGCTATTTTACCTTTTAACTATTTGGCTACTTAGGGTTCCCTGACACCTGCTCCAGACTCCTGACAGAAACCTTGTTTTTCCTATGGATGTGTAAAGCTCGTTATATAAATTAAATGCTTATTGTATCATTAAGTTATTGCTAACTATGTACAGAAGGCTTTGATACAGCTATTTTGACCACCAGGTCACACTCATTTTGAACTTATATGTACAAACATTTTAAAAAGAAGCATAATACCAGCTCTAATAAATTTTCATCAAAAAGTATTTCCTGGAGTAAACTCCATTTAACTAACTTAGTTTCCTTCTATTTTTAAATTTTTAAAAAAATTTTTCAGTGGCTGGTATGAGGATCTGAACACCTGACCTTGGTGTTATAACACAACACTCTAAACAACTGAGCTAACCTGCCAGCTCCAATTCAGTTTCTTAATGAATTCTTTAAACAATATTTAAACTGTTTTCTTTGTTTTAATTTTTTTTTTTCTGAATTTCAACCAGCTCAGCTCATGTCTGTGTAAATTTTATCTTAAGTATTTGGTTCACTGAGGTTAATTGTTCTACCTTTATGACATAAGAAGAATACCCATGAAACTACCATCCAATTTATAAACTTTACAAACATTACAAAGATCACTGGAGATCTTTTCCAATCCCATCTCTCTATTATTCTTTTGCTTCTTTTCTGTTCCTTTGCTTTTCTTTGTACTTCTACTGTCTATGGATGTGTCTCTAAGTAACAGGTTGAATTTGGCTTATGTTATAACATAGAGATCATAGTACATGTGTTCTTTTTTGCCTGCATTTTTCTCTTAACATGTTTCTAAGATTTGTACCTGTTGATATATGTAGCTCTAGTTCATTCTTTTCATTCCTAT